AAAACCATGAAATGTTGCATCTCTCTGAAACTGGAAAAAAATGCAGACAAATTTTCTAAAATCTCCAAATCTGTCAAGTTACTCTTCTTTTGGGTTTATTACAAAACCGCCAAACTCGAAAAATATATTTTACAAAAACATCAGTGAAATCAAACCGAAGAATTTTATAGTGAAGCGATAAAAACAAATGTACTCAGAAAAAGTCATAGAAGCAAGTGATGCCAATCCTACTGCTCTTCGATGCTCCTTTTCCGAATGATACTGCCAGTCTTGATACTTTTTGATTAGCCGTCGTATATTAAGTCGCATTAAGGCGATAACCATATAGCGGCGACAAAAACCCCCGGAGATAAACGATATCCGCCACTGATTCGATGCTAGATTGTGTAACGTAGACTTCGGCACCGCACGCAACGCATTCGATACGTCCTAAAAACCGTACGCCGCGGTGTCGCGGCACAAGCAGTGGCGCACACGCCGTTAGAAGTCCCGGTTACGCCACTGGACACACAGTCGCAACCGTATCTGAGACACGCATTTAAGAGATACCGCCGAACCCCGACTGCGTACACCGTACACTGTTGTATAATACATGCACACAATACACGATATTTACGCGCCGCTGCCGTTATCGTGCGGGTTTTATTACGCGCGGACACTGAACAGAAACACCGTTTCGTACACCGGATATAGACACTTCGTGTTCGTTCTGGTATTCTTATTGCACTCTCCCCGCGGATGCCCGACGATAAATTTCTATCGGTTTCGATAAAATATAATATTATTATTATTATTTTCATAATACTGTGCAGACCACCGCCTCCGTCGTTCCGTTGTACGCCAGTACCGCGCAGTTCCGTACCCACGCGCAAGCACACGTCGGAGACACTCGCGATACGCGTGCGCGTGTCCGTGCGTATCCACGCGCGTGTTGTCGCCATCTGTTCCGCAGTCGCACGCGCGTCAGGCACTCTTTTCCTTCGCCGCCGTCGTCCGTACGCCCCGAATAAACTTTTTATTATTATTATTATTATTATTATTACGATTATTCGGTTTTTTTTTCTTTTTCTGTTTTTTCCCCGTTCTTTCTTTCCGCGGCAGAATATAATAATAATAATAAAACCGGCAGCGCGACGATATCGCGATATCACAATAAATATCGGTCGCGGGACCCGCGCGCACGTGATACCGCAACCCCTTCTCTCCTCCCGCCGCTCTCGTACCGTTCGTTCGACGGCTCAAACCATGACAATAACATTATTATACAATACGCGGCGGGCGGATGTATTGTGTCCCGCGGCGAAAACCCAATACACAAATACGGCCGAGACGTTAGAGTACAAAAGTTCGGGCGCGTTTACCGAGAATCACGCGCCCGACGCAAAGTCGCCCGCGTGCCGAGGCCGCTGCGCACCAGCGGCGGCGTTCGTGTTTGGGCGACGGGACACGGGGAACATAGTCCCCGGACGTTCCGGGCCCCGTATGCTCGTCGTTGTCGAACTCGATTGCCGAATGGACTGCGTATAGCCGCCGGCCGACAATAACCGTCAGTCGTTGTTGCACATTACAGCGAGCATAATCAGTAACGTCGCCAACGGCCGGCCGCCCGCCCGCCGACTGTTGTCGAACGTTTCGGAACTTCAATTATTGCGCGGGTTGGTGTCGCCCGCCGCGCGTACCGTACCGGCCGTGATTGGAATAGCCCGGGCGTTTACATCTGAAACATCCGACGGGAATAACGACACCGTCAACCGATCGATTGGGGGGTGAGGGGACAGACGTGGGCGGATCGCCGTACGCGAAAACCAAAATCGTACGCTTACGCACATTTCGCGGCGCGTATACGATACGAGGCAGTAGGGAAAATCGGTAAATATTCGCGCGTTACAGACCGGAGCGCAGGCAATCCCGTAGTTTTAACGACCGGCGTACGTATACGAACCGCAGTGATCGGACCGTGGGTGGCGCGTGCAGGTTCGGTGGGCGCGCCGAGTCCTCCGAGAGAAAATCGCCGGACCGCGATTAAATATACAACCGTCCGGCGTTGTCCGGAAACCGCCTTAACAAAATATTTTCTAAAGTTCCGCAATTTACCAGAGCTGCTGGAACTGCGGTCGGAAGGCGCACGAAACGTGCAGCGGATGCAACACGGCGCAATACTGCAGTTCGTTTTGCCAGCACAAGGACTGGGAGACGCACCACCAGACGTGTTGCGTGCACTCGTCCGCCACCGTGCACCAACTGCAACAGCAACAGCAGGCCGCGGCCGCGACGCCGCCGACCGCGAAAAAACAGCAGCAGCAGCAGCAGCAGCAGCAGCAGCAGCAGCAACAGCAGCCGACACCGACGGCCGGCGTCGCGTCGTCGTCGTCCTCGTCGGCCGTGCCGGACGATCTGTCGATCAACAACAGGTCAGCCCAATGCGGGATAGAGAAACGGGGGAAACAAAAAAAAACACTAGAACGCGCCGATGTAATCGGAAACTATCGAGAATGACGTTGAAATCGGGAGAATAACTGTAAAATGTATTAGACACGATAAAAATACGTAACCGGTGAAATGAAATTCGAATCGGCGACGATTGCCGGTGTTAGATTGACCGCGGAACTCGTTTCCGCCGGAAATCTAAACGGTCGGAACGACAGTGTCCCGTCCGTACGTCATTTTATCGGCGAACAAAAAAAAAAAAAAAAAAGTTTTGAATTTCGACGGCGCTGACCCGAGTCGCGATTCCGTACATGTCGCGGTATTCTCGGATAGCGTATCGTCAGCGTTCCGAATGTTGTTCGGTCGCGGGCACTTGTAATTTACGTGCGTTCCGCGTTATTCGGTTTACGACGGCGCCATAATAATTATTACGGGGTGGTGCGGGGTCTGTCAGCCGGCGTATTCCGGACTGTTCTAATGTTTTTTTTTTTTTTTTTTTTTTTTTTCTCGCTGTCCCGTACGTGCGCGATTCAACTTCTGCGATAGTAAAGTTAATTTTTGATTATTGCGTATTATAATTCCAATATTTTTAACGATTGGCTTCCGCGAATGTTTTTTATTTTCTAATCGATAATTTTATAGCCGGCCGGCCCAATCGACAGCTAATGTCGCGCCGTCGTTTTGCAAGGCGGCGACCGCCGGCGCACCGGCCGACGCGTCTGCCGCCGCCGACAAGCAGCCGCACGGCAACAACGGCTGCGCCAAGCAACAGACGTGTTCATCCTCGTCGGCCGCCGCGGCGTCCACCACGACGACGACAACGACAACGACGACGACGGCCGGCGGCGGCAAACAGCTCCAATAGCGACCGGACGACGACACGGCCGCCGCCGCGGATCGTCGCCGTCAACGCCGCCGTAGACGGTCCGAGACGGACCGCCGCGTTACGCACGAGTAAAAGATGTCCGGCGGCGGCGCGGGTACCTGCGAGTACGCGGCGTTGCGGCGTTCGACGGCACGAAGGCTCGGGTTGTGACTCCGGCGTCGTACCGAGACATCAGACTCATGACTCCGTGCCGCCCCGTACAACAATCGTGGGAACCGCGTTTACTCCGGCTCGACTCTAGCGACCCGAGAGGCATAAAAAAAAACAAAACTAGAATCTTTTACCTCCATTAATAACGATGGTTATTGTCGTTATTAACCTATCGGTTAATATAATGTTCTCGGTTCGCATTACGATAACCTTCTTTTTTAATCGAGATTTTTCATAAAAATCGTTAAAATTTAATTCCCCCGTCGAATCTACGGCGGCCGTAAAATGTATTTAATCAACAGTATTCACTTAATAGTTCTCAGGTTTCGTGGTCCGCCTTTCAATGTTTTTAACGAACAATAATTATCCATACAACCGGTATATTCACCGATTTAAAACACAGCGTGTATTATAATATTTAACGTAATACAATGTTATCAGTTTATCGCTCTTGACAATTTTAACCATCGTTCGGTTGTTTGGAGGAATCTGATTTAGAGTCGTGTGTGTGTGTGTGTGGAATGCGATTGATTATAAGACTGACAAGCACTGTTAGGCAAAAATAATTAAAAACTGATTTAAATAAAGATAAATACAAAACACTACAATATCTAGATAAAAAAATAATAATAATAATAAAAATTTTAATTTTTAATAACTTACCTATGCATGTTTTTTTTTTTTATCAATTAGTTAACATGTTTTATAAATATAAAAGAACAATATTAGCTTAGTTAAATTAGTTCAAAAAATTAATTTATAAATTTATCTCAGACAGCCAATTTTGTTAATTATCTGGATAAGACGAAAGATAATTAATTATTTATCTAGATGCCGACTTGAGCGAAATACTTTTTAAAAATATTCTGTTATGTTTTCGAGTACCTAATTTACAATAATAATATTTTCGAAGTATTCCAAACACTTTGCGAAAAGTATTCAAAATATTTTAGGAATAATGTTTTGAAAAAAAAAAATGTGAGGTTAAGTTCGAATGACTAAAGGGAACCGTATATATTGTACGATGATAATGGTTTATGTTGCTTAAGTTGTTGGGAATTTCGAAAAATAATTTCTACCAAGTATCACTGGATAGAAATTTTAGGCATTTTAACGCGTTGACAAATCTGAGCATTTTTACAAACGGGAAGTGTTTTTCGAGAAAACAAAGTACACGTCTTAATGTTTAGACATTATACACTCTAAAATTAAACTGAGAAAAAGTTTTTTTTTTTTTTTTTTAATGAATAAAATACGTTTTAAAACTATTCGAATCACAGTATTGAATAAGTTTGAAAAAAATTATTTTTTAAATTTTCGGTACACCCTCGATGATAATTGTATCTAAATAATGCTTAACTAGTAAACTCTAACTAGGTATCTACGAGTTTTCGAACGCACCCCGGGGCGTGTGTCGCGCGAGACATTTTCCTTTAGTGCCCACCATTTGTGGGAATTTCCCGCCGCACGACCCGTGCACGCGTTCGCCCGTTTACTGTTTTCTAATCGGAAAACTCGCGGCGAAACGCCAAACGGCCGCGGTGACGCCGTAAAGTACCTACTTTTTTATTTTCGTCCACCGGTTCATCAAATTAACGTTAAACTATTATCTCGCTTTTTTCCATTCGGCCAAATGTTTCGTTCGGAAATTTCACCGCGGATCCGTAGTATTGTGCGGAAAAACGTTTCTGATAGTATGTATTTGTGTAGGCACCCGCATACGAGTCGGTGTTTTTCCCGGAGGCGGATCCGGACTCTAATTTTATGGAGGGGGTGGGGGCGAAACCGTTTACAACAATGAAAACTTTGTACATATTTTACCGCGATACAAGAGAAAAAATCGTACTATACTACGGAGGAGGGGGCGCAAATCAATCCCGTTATACCCTCCGACGAATCCACCGTTGTTTTTTCCGGTATACCGCGTTCAAGTACGGCGACAACGCCTTCGAGTATTACGAAAATAATTTCATATTTACGATGACTTTTTTTTTTTTTTATCTTCTAGTAATAATATCGTTGTTGCAACGCCGTAGGTTACATGTCCGTGCAACATTACGTTGCATAATATTACGTTTGTGTGTATACGACAAATAACGGTTTTAATCGCGTTTTACTTCTTTACGCCCGTCGGCTTTATACTGATGCTTACTGTCCGATATCCGGTCGTTTCTCGACATTCTCTGCACGCAGCTGTACGAACAAATCAATCAGCCACTCACGAGTATTGCGACCGAAACCGTTTCGAGCGTTTGACAAAACATCGGCGCGCTCTCGGTTGTCAACGAGCCCGGCGGTTTTCGGTTTTTGGGGTTCAAGCGCATTGTTAAACAATTTAAAGGGAGTGGTACGCTATTATTTTGACGCGATGCCTTTTTTTCATTTTCTAACGATTAATTTTTCGAAAAAATAACCGTAAGAGTAGTCGTTTTAATAACACGTCGTTAATTTTCTAAACGGCCACGCGCCGACCGTTACCGTAAATGATGGAAGAAAACGCCGTCGCGATGACCCCGGAACTCGAATTGTTTTCGAAAATTTCGAAAATGCGTTTTTTTTTTTTCTCTCTCTTTAACCTCAAAATCAACTCGGGCGCGACCCAATGGCAGTCCGAGACTACCGTGTTTTAACGTTGATATACATATACGTATGTAACAATTTTTTTTTTTTTTTTTTTTATTCGTCTGCGGGTGCCCGATTAATCTCTCCGTCTCCTATTCTAGTCGAGCCTACGAGTGCTCACGAGTCACGGTGTACCTACCTATAACAATAACACTAGTTTAGTATCTACGTCACGTAATCGTAATTAACATGTTTAAGACACAAACGCTAACATTTCGTTTAACGCATTAACGTGTATGTATTGTACAATTATACTATAATGTGTAGTTAATAACAATAATCATAGACATTCTGTTTGTATAAGTCTTCGTCTTGTTTCCGACTCAATCGACGAGATTGAGTTTAGTATTCTTATTGTATATACGTGAATTATTTAAATACATACGTAATATTATATTATATTATAGTGGATAGTGTTAATGCACAGCAGAATAATACAGTAAATAATTATGTATAGTTTATTGATGTACAATTAATAGGTACCTACTTATAGATAATTGTCTATTGTAATTTTGATTATAATAAAATAGTATATCCTAGAAAAACGTTCGAAACTCAATTTTTTTATATAGGTAAGTAATGTGTATGTAATATAATATATGTGTTGTACAATAAAATTATGTCCTGTTATCGTTTACACAAGTATGATATATAGTATGAAAAATTATGACTCCGAAAAGACAATCTTGTTACGCGCATGAGTTGTGCAGCACGACCACATAAAATAATCTCAAACGTACCGCAGCAGTGCATCCGTACATCTTTGATACACCTACCTATTTACCTATATAATTTGTTTGTTTTTTTTTTTTTTTTTTTTTTTTTTTTAATTACATAACACAACACTAAAAATCATTTTTCTGATTAACCATACTACGTTTGAACTGATTGATAATATCTGTACCAATGTATCTATGATGTATTGAGTAAAAATCATACCCATACTAATTAATACTGTTATTTGGAATTCTGAATAGAGACATAATAATATTTTAACAAACTGCTATGGAAATATTATATTTAACTAGTATAGACGAGAATGCTAATGCCGCGAGAAGTGTTTTGATACTTCTGACGTACACCTACCTGTGGTGTGAACTGAGAAGTTTTCTGAATTTTTAACTGAAATACGAAAAAAAAAAATAGAATAAAACTATGTTCTGGAACATAGGATAAAATGACCATATCTTGGTAGATCAAATGCAACCAAGAAATTCCTCGCTACGCTTTGCTCGTAATTAAGATTAGAATTTACATTCATTGGTATGTTTTTTTTGCAACTTTTGATTACTGTTTTTGTCAGTTATGCCCATGGATCAGCTCATGTTGAGGTAAATGGTGGTGTTTTTATTTTTGAATAAATCTCATACTTTTCTATATATTGAATACAATAAATATTATTGCATATTTCAATTACAAAAACATAAAAAATGCATGTTTTATAGTATATATTGTTACATGGCGTTTCATCGCTATACAAAAATACCGAAAATGCAATATAACAGTTTTAGTAAATATAAGAACATCTTAAGATCTAACAAAAGATCGTTTATTTTTAAAAATTTAAAACACCATGTATCACTCTTGGCGCCCTCTGATTAATCTTTATTTATTTTCTATCAGAATGAACATTTCAATTTTGGCACAACTTACACGGAATATCCTACTGACTATTCATTTTTTTGTTTTTTAATTTCATCCATATCACCAAGGTAACCCATAAATCAACAAAAAAAAGTTGCTGTACTAAAAAGACCAATTACTCTGTGTCCAGCTACCCTTGCAATGCCACCTATCGGGTCCAATTGTGAATCTAAACCATCCAGGGACCCATTCAAACACACATAAACAATTTCGTCAAAATCAGTCCAGCTGTTTAGGAGGAGTTCAGTGACATACACACGTACAGTAGAATTATATATATAAAGATAATCATAAAAAAACTCACATAATTAATATAATATGTACCTGTGAAAATACTCACAATTAAAATAACTCCAGACAAATATTGAAACTCATAATATTCAAGAAATGCATTTTAGTACTAATGCAGTGTCCGACATTTTCCCATGAATGAAATATTCTATTTCTATGGTCATGGTTGCGTAATATATTATCGTTATAATTTTATGGATATAACAACCCAAACTTTTTACTGAGTCTCAAACAAAAAATTAAAATTAAAAAAAAAGAGTATAATATCGTCAATCGTGATAGTTTTATTTATGACGCAAAACAAACGGTGAATTCAACAATAAAAATAACTTATAAATATGATAATATTAATATGTATAAATATATATAAAAAAAAATATGTTCAAAATACAATATTATATCGTATAGCCTTCCAACAGTAAACTAAACAAAATCATTGGATTTTAATCAGCGTATTTTCAATTCACTTGGTAGACGGTTCAATATCTTCTATATCGAAATCCTTGACCCATTCGTCTGTTCATAAAAAAAATATAGGTATTGTTTAATACAAAAAACAATATTATGAGGTGCAATAACTTGACAAAATGAGTACATTTGATTTTCACGTGTTCAAAATATCACTATTCACCATGTAATATATAAGTCGGATTATCCTTAAGGCTTACCAACTTAAAAGGTGTATACAAGACAAAAACAGCTGACAAACTTACAGCAACCAGGTTGGTATTACAAATTCTCTAAACGTCCCAAGGAGTTTAAAATTGTCTAATCCTCATTTCTCCCTCAGTGACACCTATTAACAGTCTACTACTACACACATTCCATACAATAGTTTTCTTAAATAGAAAATAAATTGATTTTACAAATACATTTTTACTCTTAAAATGTCAATTATTGATCATTTCCCCACCTTTAAAAAACCATTTTGTTTAAACAATCACCTTTGTCCAAACTTGAAGTGGTAACTGAAGAAGCAGTTGAAGGAATATCTTCTTGTTTTAATTTTGAATCCTTTTTCATATCTATGAAAATAAATTTTAAAATGTAACTATACATTTTGTCAAAAAATATTCACTGATATTAATGATACAATTACAAAAAAAACATTTTACCTTCTGTAGGACTGTTGGACTTTGATGATACTCTTCGCTCCTGATCATACGATGACAATATTTCCTCTTGTTCTTTTTCAGATAATTCTATATCAGATAATGGAATTAATTCTGTAAATTGTAATTAACTACAATGTAAACGACATCTCCTCATCATATAATTTTTATCAACAACCTACCTTTATTGAAATCTATTCTCTCAGTTTCTTGTTTTTCTTTTTCTAAACGCCTTTGTTGTTTAGCATCCTCGTCTTCCAACAATGCCTTTCGGAACAAAAATCGATACCAAAAATCTGCATGAGAAACAGAATTTGGAACAAGTTTTTCATAATTTTCACGCAATGGAGTGCACTCGTTTAATATTTTTGTGAGTTTTTCGTTAGATAACAAACTACTGTCACCACTTTTTACCCAATCTAACCAAGCTTTATATCTTTTCTCAAGTAGGTCATCAATTTCCAATATAAATGTATTTGGATCATTAGCCAGAGTATATATTTGGGCCTATAAAAAATCAATTCTAGAATTAAGTATCGAATAATATCAAACATGAAGTATAATTAAAAATAAATATATTACTTGTAACCTAGACAGCGTAACAGTATCTGAACCCACAATCATTAGGGATTCTTCATCTGAATCATCGGGCAAAGGATTCAGAGCACTTGACATTTGGTCAAGAAATGAACTTACTGATTTCTTCATTGTGTTTGCGGTAGATTCTGGGTTTTCCAACTAAAATATATAATATGTGTAAATATTAATTATTTACCATAATTAGGAAACGGGAACCTACACAAGCAAAGACTACTAAAAATGGGAATATTACATAACTGTAGGGCAAATTATAATAACAAAACAAATTTAATAAAGCTACCATATTCTGTACAATGGATGAATCATTTTTTTAAGTTGAAAAATGTATATTATTTTATAATCATAAAATAAATTACAAATATTTGTGTTTTAACAAATAGTTGAACATAAAATATTAAATTAATAAAAATAAATTACTAAATTTATTGTCATTCACACACAGAAAAAAAATATCGAAAATGCCAAATAGATAAAAATATCCTGTTGTCTAAAAAATGCATATTACATAAATCAAAATAATCAACGATATACTGAATTTTTGTAAACAAATTATTTATAATCTATTTATTATAGATTTAACACCTTTTATTATATTATCGGAGAATTATAACTTTCATATCGAATATATTTTTGGGGCGTGGGGCACTGTAGCATCCCAACAATTCTACTGCTGAACCTATATAATATTAACATACTTGTAATGTCTCTTTGACAACATTTGTGGTGTTTAACACAATGTTGTTAGTTTCAGTGGTAACTATTGTGGTCAATTCACCGAGATCACGTTTAACAGACTCCAATACTTCGGCCGACTAAAATTAATAATATATTTATTAAAGCACAAAATAAGAATTTTCCAGAATACAACTATTGAATAATATTATATATTTAAACATACTTTGGACTTGGCTGCAGAATATAACGAATCCCACCATCCTCCTCCATCATTTTCCTTTTCAGGACTCACTATAGTTTCTTCATTGATATCTTCAACATCATTGGGTTGTCTAAAATAAATTAAATAGGATAAATATATTTGTATAAAATTAAAAAATATTTTATTATTGAATATAATAACATGGAATTTCTTTTGAGGATAATGTTTTTCTTTAGCCTAAACTGTAATAATAATATTATATAGTATTAAATTTAAAAATGCAATGTAAATTAATAGACCTATCAAGAAAAATAAGTAAACATTGTAAATATTGATACTTGTTTAAAAAAAATCGCATAATTTGCATATGAATACATTTCCTAAATACCAGTCACGATTGTCTATAACTCCTTGATGTTTTTTTCAAATATCTATATGTACCATTATTAGCGGTTTACGTGGGTATTTAAAATTAAGTACTCCTAACCAGATCGGGTACTAGAGCTATTTAGACCTTCCCAGTAAATTGAGCACATTCACCGATACCCAATAAAATCGAAAGGAGAACTAGGGATTCGGACAAGAAACTGCAAAGAAAATGATAAACTGATAGGAAGGCACGACAACAAAGAACCAAAACGTACGGAGGCGGTTTTACTCACTTTTCGGCCATAGTAAACTATGAACGTGACCGAACGGTTTCAGACAGTGTTGAGCGTTCTTCAGCTAGGTACCTATTGTTTATAGTTGACTCTTTCGGTATCGTCGTCACAGGCTTCGGATGGTCAAATTAACTGACGGCCATAGGACACCGTTCGTTTGTACTCGGCGATAAACAATGGCCGTAACAGACGGATAACAACCGCCGAATGTCTCGGACAAGAGCAAAGGGTAAATCGGAGACGGCGTAACACCAATAAACGTTGTTATTGTAGTGGGTACTGGATAGTGAGAGTGGATGTATGATGTTTGTGCAATCGCCTTCCAGCATAATCTACGCACAATAAAATGTTATGTGATAACGCACCGTTGTTGATACCCAAGGTTTATCTATAAACCATAGTTGTTACCGCGTTGGCGTCACTATTATGAACAAAGATAGATATTCTATTGTAACCGCAGAATAACCAATAACCATTGAACTATATGATAACCATAAATAAACGATTGCTTATCTATCTAGATGATTATGAGTTATGATAAAATATAAAAATTATTTTATTCCGTGTGTTCCAATTTGTTTATAAATCAATCTGCTAATCCAACGAATTGCTCAGCAGATTGATAGAGTTTAGGAACACTTGAGGTAGATCAATAAGGTGTAATCACTTTCACCCTATCCGCATAAGATAAATTGATTGAAAACATTACTGCAGTTAAAATTACCACTAGAGTTCGCTGATTACCCGATAGAGGACTAGAAATTGTATTATTTGTATGTATTTGAATAGGAAAATGACTAAAATCATGGACATTTTCTATTATTTTTTTTTTATTGTAAAAGTGCATTTAAAATGATACACCTAAAAAGATAAATTATACTACATTTATTAATACACATAAATACATAATAAAATAGTATTAAATAGTTATTTATGGTATTATTCATGAATAATATAATATAACATACCTACCTGGTGTATGTTAATAGATAACTATTGCTTGAACAATTAGATATGATTATTATTAGGATCTAGTATTCGTAATTACTGTTGGTGATTGGTAAAAATAATAATATTGTTAATAATATAATTATATTATTAAAATATATTGTATTATAGTCAAGAATTTTTTTTTTTTGTTATATTTTCTACAACGAAATTCATTCTAGTATTTTATTAAATTTGTATATATATAATGTATTTCGTAAGTTCTTATTTATGATCAGTACAGTCAATTTTAGACCCAATCCCAATGCTAGAAGTAATCAGATTAACTTATTACATGGTAAGATAATATAACACATATTACATTTTGGGAGAGAGGTGTTACTTTAATAGGTGTTACATTAACCTTTGCTCTTCACCATATTTAGTTCAACTTGCCATTCATCATGATCATAAACTCTGTGTACTTACTACCTACTTATTATAAAAATTTATTAAACCACAAATATAAGTACAGAATTGGAATTTTCAGGACACCATATTGTCAATATTATACTGTCGTCAAAATATTTTAATTAATTTAAAAAAATAATTAAAATGATACGATTTCTATATTCCGCAACACTGAAATAGATAAATTCAAAAATGCGAAACGGGGGAATACCTCGGATGAAGAATAGCTGCTATCTATTGAAAAGGCTACTCTTTTCTATGTCTAGGCTCTCTAGGTATAGGTAAATAAATAATAAATTTTAAATATATAGTAAACTGTTACCGCCACCGCAGCAGTGTGCGAGCATTGAACCCCCTAAACGCGTGTCCTATATGAGTGCGGCGAGTGCGTCCGATGCGAACGAATTCGCATCGTACGTACCGGACGTTTTTCGAACGCCGCACTCATGGCAAATGTCCGACATCGTAGTACACGGCGATGCGTTATTGCGATAACTTAGTATTAAACTAATATAAGTATAACTACCCTTTATAGTTTTAATGAACTTTTTTACATTTAATTTATGTTGTATTAATACTTACTATGGATTTAAGTCTACAAAAAAAAATGTTATTAAGTGAAAGTACTCTACTTAAATACTTATTGTAAAAAAAAAAATAAAAGATCAATGGCAAATACATTTATTTACAAAGATCGAATTACTTTTGGTGAATTTTACCATTTGTACCTTCAATTACGAAGTGACAGTGTTTTGTTTCAAGCATATACAAGAATGACATCAGAAACGTTTGATTATATTTTAGAAATAATTACACCGGAATTTGACCTTCAAACCGCAAATTTTCAAGAACCTATTTCAATAGAAAAAAGATTGCTTGTGACAATAAGGTAAGTTTTTACTTGTTTATAGGTAAACTTAATTAGAAAAATACAAACGAAAAGAAATTATAATATTTGATACATTAGTACCTATATAGAATTGAAAAATCATTCTTTAACATAAAATAGAATAACAAAAAAAAAAAATATAAATTAATAAATAACCTTCTTCGGTTTATATAATAACAAAATAACAATTGTATAAAACAATGAAGTAAAGGTCCATCACATATCAAATTAAAAATATTATCTTTTTTAAAATAATATAATATTAATGTTCATCATCATTTTATGAAACTAAATTAACTTAACATTTTGAAATATTCCTAAGCAAGATATTAGTACGTAATAATAAAATAAATCAATTTAAACTTAAATTATAAAATTAAAAAATAATCAGAAATTGTTAAAACAACGAATAATATAATGTATACAAATTTATATTTATCACTTATTAATATATTCCTTAAATTCTAAAAGTTTTATAATTTTAATTAAAAGTTTAAATGTTGAGCAGTTATAGTTTCGTATGTTTCATTTTCAATATCAGTTGGGTTGATTTGCTGTTGGATATACATGTTTGATGGTCCACGTGTATTTTGATAATGCATTAAATTTTGAGAAAAATACGGATTACGACATGAGGCAGATGAAGTATGTATTTCTTGTGGCTGTTGTACTTGGGCGGACAATTCATTAATAAATACAGTGTTGAGTTGGTTTCTTATGCGCAGTTTTTGTAATGGATTCAATTCATGAAAATATGGATGAAGTGACTTTAGGAATAACATATCTTCGTCATCACTTATAACTGGATTCATATTAGACTGAAGTAAAGCAGTAACTTTCTGTTGTTCGAGTTTCAGTAACTCACTTTCAAAATCTTTATTTGATTGATTTTTTTCTGTTTTATCGAACTACTTTATGACACATCTGAAAGATTTGAACTGTTTGGTACAGCAGAAATAACAAAAGAGTCAGTGTCTGATTCGGACCTTAACGAATGTTGTTCAATTTCAAGTTTATTTTCCAAGCTTATGTTGTCCGTATACGAGTCACTAAAATTGTCAGACTCGTCAATTTCTGATAAGTCTGAATGTTATTGCTGAGTATCCTCTAAGTCAGAAATATTTCCCTCAGTATTATTTGGCATAGTTGTATTTTTTAGAAAAAGCATTAATCTATAGTAAGCCCATTTTCCCGTGTAAATTTCTGCATTCTCTTGGGAATCTCCTGAACGACATTTAATCACTTTCTTTTTTTCTTTTAAAAAAGTATCCCTCAGATTTCTCCACTTTATTTTTGCATCTTCTTCTGTAATTTTAGTAAGTCAATATATATAATGTTTATACATAAATATATTATATAGGTACTTATCTTACCACAACATTTATAGATTTTTTAAATTTAACAGTTTTTTAAAACAAAAAATTAAATAGGTTAGGTTAAGTTTGGAGGACAAATTTTCATAATAATGTAAACATATCTGTTGTTTTTCTCTACAATAAGTTACGTACATTTTTCATTAAATTTGAATTTAAAAATCTATAAAATGTTCAATTTTCGTATCTAAGGATTCAAATATTAAAACAAACTCATTCGTAGGTTATATAGTAAGTAACTCCTGTTTTTAAAATTTTTATTCAATTGTCAAAAATACAAATAATAAAATTGAAATTTTTGTCAGTTTGTATTTTAATAATAATTGGTAGTAAAACTACCCGTTTATGTCTGGTTATATATTAAAATTAATAAGTACTAAAAACAATAAATATACTTCTTATTATAATAATATAATGTATGACGGAATGAATAACATATTTACTTATGTTTTTTAATAGGTTTTTAGCGACAGGACTAGCGTTCAGACAAATTTCCTTTTCGTTCAGAATATCCAAAACAACAGTTTCAAATATTGTCATGGAAGTGTGTAGAGCTATATAGAATACAATGAAATACAAACATATGTCAACTCCAACTGTTGATCAGTTTAAAAAGATAGCTTTAGAATTTTTTGATAAGTGTAATTTTCCAAATTGCGTAGGTAGTATTAATGGGAAACGTATTAGATTGAGATGTCACAAAATGTCTGGAAGCATGTAACTATAAACAATTTTTTTCGATTGTTCTAATGGCAGTTGTTGACGCGAACTACAAATTTGTAATGATAGATGTTGGAGCGTATGGCAAGGATAGTGATGGTAGTGTTTTGTCTAATTCAACATTTTATCAGCGTATTGAAAATGGTTCTCTTAAACTACCAGAAGAAACCAGATTGCCAAATTTAAACGTTCGTTTTCATTGAAGATGAAGCTTTTCCCCTACGAAATTATTTGATGAGACCATTTCCACGAAAACAGACACAAGATAATGCAAAATCGTACTACAACTATAGACTTAGTAGAACTAGAATGACAGTTTAGTGTGCATTTGGTATTCTTTCATCAAAGTTTAGAATTCTTTTGAAATCAATTGAAACCAAAGTGGAAAACGCAGACCACATTGTCAAGGCAACTTGTATTTTACATAATACAAATATCGATTTAGAAAAAAAAAAAGACTTCAACACAACGCAATACAAATTCAGACGATATTGATATGTCATATGACTATCAGATGATGGGACTAAATAGTGATGGCAGATCTAATAATCGTGCTACACGTATAGCTATTGCAATAAAAAGCAAGTTCGTAAATTTTTTTTTCGGAAAATACAATTTAAGAAGCAATTTATGAATACAATATTTAACAATTTTTTATTTAATCTTATTTTATAATATATTGATATGTATTACACATTATAGACATTATTAATTTATAAATTAATAATAAAAATGTAAATAAGTCCGATAGGGCCGATGTCCGATAGGTACCTACCTACTATTTATTTAAAATTGCATTTAATATCCTTAAAAATCAATTGAAATAAGTATATAAACAATATATAATAAATAAAAATAACTTATGTATATTTGGTAGATTTATTCACTATCCAAATTAATTTTTTTGGCCAATATACTCCACTCCTTATCACAAACAAGTCTATCCTTATATTTTCTGTCAAAATTTTTCCATAAAACACTTATTTTTTTGCACTTCAGATATTAAAAGTTCACAAGTTTCCATTTTAAATAATTAAAATTATGTACAAATAAATATATAAACGTACTGGACGCAGCTAAACTGGACGGTGACAAAAAACAAAATGATTTGTTTCTTCAAATCGTTCAACGCGTGCGAACGAATTCGATCGTTCGCACGTGCGGCGGCGGCAGCGTACATAGGATATGCAAAACATGTTTTCACAAGTTTATTTTGGACGCCACAACGCGTTTGCCGCATTCGCCGAACTCACATAGGACACGCTATAATGTAAATTATTATAATTATTATGTTTCTAGTGTATGTAGTGAAATGGCAGTAGGATGTCTTCACGATTCGTGAAACATAGAATTTAGAGGAAAAAATGTATTTTGCATAAAAAGCATATTTTAGAAATTAGAGAATATTCAATACGTTCGAGAATGTTTGACAATATTTTATAAATATTTTTATTTTTGATCCTATTATTTGTATGGACGTATATCGGCATTTTGATAATATTGATCAACAAATACAATTTATTTTACAATCGAGTTATATTTATATCCTTCTGGGTTTCTAATAAAAATTAATCACTATAGTCCAGGGATGAAACTGCGGCTAGTGAGCCGCATGTGGCTCTCATCATAGACTCATTTTTAAAAATATGAATTTATAAATTTATGTATTTGAAAAAGTATATTTTATTAAATTACAATTTATAGAAAAATATAGTATTTTTGATATAATATTTTTAATTATTAATTATCTTATTTGTTGTGTGTTCATATTTTTTTTGTAAGCTTTTTGAAGTCAGGATTATACGTTGTTAGAGCAGATCTTAAAAATTCCGTTAACGATCCATTAAAATTGAGCGATGTTTAGTTTTTATTACTTTCATTGTCGAGTGTAAAGACTCGCAAGAACATGTTCCGAAAATTCTCCAGATTTTATTACATATTTTGATATCTTATCTTATACATATTAATATAATCTTTTTTTTTCATTTTGGCTCTTCCATATTTATTAATATATTGGGCTGCGCACGAGTCTCTTCTCGCTAACCACCCCTACTATAGTCTATACAACTTAAGAGTAAACGGGTTTTTTTGTTTCACGCATATGCTATGGATAGGCGGGTGAGTAAATATAGCGGTATTAATACCGGGAGTGGGAACACATGCGCGAAAACGGACGTGTTTTTGTCCGCCACCCGGTATACTCTTAAGTCGAATAAAATATAGATATTTTTTTATCGATGGCGACAAAACGTCAGAAATAACAAAATAACGTTAGTTGTCACGAGCTGCCACGATTGTAAAATAAAATAAATTAAAAATGTTGTAAACCAAATTAATAATACAACTTATTTAAGTTAAAAACTAAAATTAATTTTTTTTTTCATAATATTAAAAGAATATTTTGCCCTTTTTAGGACATTAAACATCATATATCTGGTATTTTAAAAGAATAAAAACATCATATTTTAAGAATTTTAAGAGAATATAAATCCGATATCTAATTATCAGTATTAGCTGTACTATTATTAACCAGTGGTGGCGCATCAGTGATCAGGGTAGACAATGAGACAAAGTCTACCCAAAAACATCTAATAATTAAAATTTAAAAATAAATAAGTAATCATATTGCAGTAAAAACCATGATTGAAATATACAAGGTTATTGAAGATACAATCCCCCACTTCATCTTTTTTTAATACACGAAAAATAAAATGGTAACATAAGGGGCCGTACATTTATTGGCTAATATGAGATCATAATTGGGTACAATATTTGTTAATTTGAACTGTTGATAAGAAAACAATCTAAAATATACTCAATGTCTGTATTACAAAATTCGATGACTGCCATCATTTTAACAAATTGTTTAATTATTCATAATACCCATGTTAAGTTAGGTTGAGTTGAATATCATCTTATGATAGAAATTAAAAATAGCATCATGTGTTTTGTCATTCGTTGTCAACAAGTAATATGTTTCAACATTTAATTTTATTATTACAAAAATTATACAAAATAGTATATCACATATAGTATAATAAATCATTATTTATGTATAGGTACTTAGTTTTGTTTATTATTTGTTAAAATTAAATTGAAACATATAAACTAGAAAGTTGATAATAGACTGCACTTTATGCCGCCATTTTTTTTTTATTTTTATTATTTTTGATAACAAAAATACTTTCTGCAGTAACCTTGCTTAATATTTTAATCATGGTAAATACTACAATAGTATTTTGCATCTTCATAATTTTATAAATAAAATATTATTTCAGCTGATTCAACACAACAGTGTCTATGTGACTATATAATACCTAACCTAACATATTTTATTTATATCTTATCTTATCTGTACCGTTAGCACCGTTCCGAACCGAATTGGCAGAGATATACCGAAATGTGTCTCATTATTAATGACGGGTGTATAATGGTGTAAACGGGGGGGTATCGTGGTGTAATACTAAAAAAAAATGCAAGAAAAAGAGTTGTCTCAGGGCCAGGGTCTTACTATCATCGGTTATAGACAATTTAGTGATTTACTTACTTAGATAATAAAATCAACAACATAAAATTGTCCAAGCTAGTTTTGATTTAATAATATTTTTAAATTTTAACTTTTCAACTTTACACTATTTTATTATTATTTATATTATATTTGTATCATGTATAATTAAGTTATACATTTATTAACAGTTTATAATATTTACCATAGTTATGTATTTATATTTTATACAAAATAATATACTTATTACTAAGTTACTTTACTAAGTTTACTTTATTGAAAATGAATATTGTATCCTTAATTGTACTCTCAGATTATTCTTAATTTGTAAAACCTTGTTATAACCACAGACCATAGTTATCTACTATATAGTATTATTATTACAAAATTGAAACTATAAACTTGTCTTCATGGCGCACTAGTAGTACTAGGAACAGCTGTTTCAGATACTTAGTTTTTCAATCACATTATGGGATTTCGATATTCAAACTGTGTACCTTAAAGCGTGGTCCGTAGTCATTACTAATTAAACGACATAAAATGTGATATTATGATAATGCATAAGTATACAAAAAAAATAAATATTAATAATATTGTTGAAATGATAAATGATATCAGATTTCGATATAGTGATATAGTATTGATGCATGCGCAGAAAGTTCACGATTCAGTACTGTATTTAGAAGCTCCTCTATAAAGCTCTCTCTATATTTGACCTTGACATAAACGTATAATTCGTTTATTAGAATAAGTTCTATGGATGTTTCTCCTTCTATAAGTGGCTTACTGTGAGATTAGGTTAAAACATCGAAATATTAAATTTATATAATATAATATTATTCCAATATTATAAATATTAATAATAAAATAATAATATAGTCATTATTATACTGAATAATTTTATATTTAACTTATAATTAAATATTTAATTCAATACATTTTTTACGATGTCGACAAAATAATCTAACCCGTCTGCTTTGCATTCACAATTTTGTAATAGATTATCCCACTGATCATCTTCAGAAAAATTATTTAACTTAGTTAAATTGACGTAGAGGATTGAACCGCCTTCTCGGATGTACCAAATTAATTCGGATCTTTTGACCGGTTTGAACAGCGCACCCTGTCACATCGACATTATAATAAATGTATTAATTACAAAATACAATTTTTAAATTAGATAATATACTTAGTTAAAAAAATACATAAATACGAGATCTGTTCAAAAAGTTCCAGTACTGTTTGAATTACTCGCCATCGAAGCGTAAAAGAGCAGTATAGATTTGATAAACTATATTGGTATACTGGTATACTGGTATTCTGTAACTTGAGCATATCTGTTTTGTAGATTCTCTATAATCTTTTTTATTCTGATACAAATATGAAAAACATTATTCGCTTTAAAACGAAGAAGATTATAGAAAACCTACAATAACAGATGTGTTCAGGAGTAGTCACAAAATTCAGTGATATCAATTCTACTACACTTTAACACTCCATTGGCACGCAATACAAATAATCCTAGACCTTTTTAAACAGACTTCATATACCATGTCTACTCAATGAAATTTATATATCTTGTTAAGTAAAACTCACCGAGATAATAGTTTTACCGAGAACTTCAATTGATATATTTTTGATAGTTAAATCAATCTTAATATCTTTAGATTTTGTGCCCGGGGATAAATTAACCTCTATATGGACATCATTTAAATCTTGCCACCATCTGCCCCATTCTGTCTGAATAATTGGAGTGTATACCCAATCTGATAACGAGGAAGTCATTGCTGTAGAGGATAGTAAATGGTTATTAATAAAAAAAAAATTAATGTTGATGATTTATAATCAAAATCTTAAAAATATAATTAATATATAAAATATAAAATTATTTTACTTTTTTTTATTCCTTAAATAATACGGAAGATATCCAAATCAACAATATGATATACATAATATGATAATGCATTAGGAACATTTGTTTACAATGTTTTAAATCTATAGTAATATTATAAAGTTGAAGAGTTTGGTTGAACTCGCTAATCTCATGAACTACTGGTTCGAATTGAAAAATTATTTTTATGTTAGTTCATTTATCGAGGAAGGCTATAATATTTTTTTATTTCAAAATTACACCCCTCAATTGGGGTCGACACGGTATTATTGGTATTTTAAGTACGAAAATCGAATTATTTATGTTGATTGGTTACCTAGGTTATACGAATAAAATAAAAAAAAAATAAACAAAATATTATAGAAAAATTATTAAAACAATGTGCGTTTCCGTGACAACATTGATTGTTTAAAAAATATTTAAATAATAAAAACTTAATAATAACACAAAATAAATAAAAACGGTTGTCAATGATAACTTTATTTTTAATCTTTCAATATTTTTTAACCACGATTAAAGATATGCAAATCTTTAATCGTGTTTCCAATCCAAAGAACCATGCATATATAATATATAAATGAATCGCTGTTCGTTGCACAACTTAAGTAAGCGCATAACTTGATAATAGTATAGATAATTGAGTTATTAATTTATATTCCTTATATGTACTGCTTATATTCTCGTTAAAAATGTAAGATAACGATTAACGACCCCAGTGTATGGCATAACACCAGTAAAATCAGTGAATAACATAAATTATTATTTTTACACATTTTAAGATGACTATAGTTACAAACATTGATTATAATTTTTTTTTTTCAGAGTTAACAATTTGTTATTATTTCAAGTACTTATTTTGAAATGAATAACAAAAGTTAAGAGAACCATTATTGAGTATTAATACTAATTATTATTATAGGTAATTATTTCTATACGTGAACCGATCATTTTTAATAGATACATAATATACTATATAATAGATTATAAACTCTTAATATCGATTTAAGATCGCGTGTCCTGATCGCGCGACTGCTGATACAATGTAAATTAAATATACTTGGTTTTCGGCGAAGTAAATTTGTTTGCTACGCGAACGCGAATTTATTGCTTCTTGAACAGTCTTATACTTTATGGATAAAATTAAATTTATTGGCATAAGTAGGTGGAGTATCATTTGTGTAGCGACACGATGCGCGGCGTTTTAATGCTCCATTACTCTCCCCCTACCTAAGCTTAAAAGTGGAATATCTCATATACGGATTGACGGAATTCCAAAACTCAGAGTTTGAATTTATGCAAAATTTATCCAAAAAATGGGGTGAGCACGCTTAGTATAAGCGTATACTCTGTATAAGAATTTTGCACAATCGTTCTTCACCGTACTAAATTATTTATTTTATTATATAGTACTATACCTAGTAATTACCTACATTACTCTATGCAGATATATTATATTATTAAAAATAAATTTGTATCGTATTTACCTAATTAATGTTTAACTTATTTACACCTTTTTTTTTAACGATAAACTTAAAATTATATTGATTAATTATTATTATAGTTACTAAACTACAACGACGGCGACGTTGATGATTGACGATTATCTTAACAGCTCGACAAAACAAGTTTGGTAACTTTTCTTTTGCTCTGCAGTTGTATTGTTGACGACGACCGGTGGGGTGGTTCTATAACGTCAATTCGTATCCTCTTCGTATTCCTACTAAATTAAAAATTATACAATACTTTATAATGATTTTTGTAAAACGTATTAAAAATTATATAATGTTTATTTTTTATATAAATGCGATCGGTATTGTCACATCCTCTGTTATACTCACCGTTTTGTACACATGAATCTATTGATGCTGCGTGACAGCACAAAATGTTAAAACAGCTGCTACAAACGAAGGGTGTCAGGAACCTGGTTGCATATTCCCATACCACACACGGTTCCGCACCCGGTCGTTTCTGAATGGTCCAATCCCGGGCGCTATTGTTTACCCCCTCGGTTCCCAAAGCCTGCACTGCGGTGTCTGTACAGGGGTGCCACGTGTCGCATAATAATATATATATATATATTTTTTTCTATGTGTAATTCATTATTTGTATATAGTTGAAACCGTGTTGCCAATTCTTACACGTTGCGCCGGCGCGCCTAAGGGGTGGAAAGCAAACTATTGATTATATTTTTATTGTAAAATGGCGTCGCCCCGCGCATACTCAGTGTTTACCATATACTTGGACCGAGGTATCTAAAATTTGAGGTCGCAGTACGTACAGAACATCGTGTAGTGAGTTGATGCGTGATTTAAATAATAATTTTTGGAACAAGTTTATTGAATTTACAGCTGAAAATTTAAGTAGGAACATTCATATTCGCTTATTTATTATCGGATATTGGTTTTGGTGTACATAATTTTTATTTACAGGTTTAAAGGGCACATTTTCGTGTTGACTCAAAACCCAGCAATATGCAAAATGTACCAATGAAAACAGCCATGCCATGGGGTCAGTGGTGGCAAGAGGATGAAGAGGTGTATCTTGAGTTGAATATTCCCAGAAACACGAAGCATGACGAAGTACAAATCCATTTATCAGAAACATTGCCCACATTGATCGAAATCGTTGTAAAAAACAACATAATATTTTCGGTAGGTATAAGTTTGTAAATGCCTAAAGGCAGAACGGCTGCAAATTACAAAATAAATCCGAAGTCGGCTTTTTTACGTACAATTTACCACATTTTTTTTTTGTACTGATCGCTTTATATTTTTCAAGATTATTAATATTTTTGTCTCGTTCCAGTAATTAATTTTTAGGTAGGTAGGTATCTCGTTATTTTGTGTACCACTTATTCTAAGCATATTTTTGTATACAAATCGTTACTTTAAAATTGATTAATAGAAATAGTGCTTAGGTACATGAATGTAGTAAAGTGTTAAAAATAAAAGAAAATATAACTAAAAACTAATACAATCAGTAGGTACATAAAATATTATGTAGGTTTTTATATTATAGTTATTAGTTCTTCTCCTTCGCCTCAGTCTCAATTATTTGAGGTTAGGTTATGATATATGACGGCGTGTTGTTTATTCAAAAATTAGGTTATTGGTACAATTATTAGTAAGTAGTAGTTGGTGATAAACTTTTTGTTTGGACCCTCACCCTCCAAAAAAAAATCCTGGCCAAGTGCTTGAATGTGAAAGCATTCACTTAAAGTGTTAATGTTTTTTTTTGGTAACTATTAATTTTGGAAGTATTCCATCATCAGACATATCTCCTCTTTTTTTCACATTTTATTTAGTTTGTATAAAAGATGATTATATGATCTCAAACTAACAAAAATTATATGTTTTCCAATAGTTTTTCTTTTTATAATGTATGCTAATATATTTTCATAGAATGTTTTATAAAGTATTTAGTATTTTATTTCAATTTAACAGGATCAATTGTTAAAACCGGTAGTAAGCGATGAAACTACTTGGAACATCAGAAGAACTAGTGGGACACTCAATGTAATGTTACTGAAGTTAAATTACGTTGAGGGCGAAGAACCATGGAACACATTGTTCAATCCGTTTCCAATAAAAAATGGAGAATAAGAAATTACATTATAGCAGGTAAATGAAATACATAAATCTAAATAGTAATATATAAGTGAAATTAATTATTATAATGATTATGTAATACTATAGTGCTGGCCGCTGGGAGAAATAAGACTACCTATAAATATTTAGAATCTGTAATAAATGTCAAATTATTAAATGTAACATATTACCTTAGACCTTATATTAGTTATACTAATAGACCGTCTTGCCTATAGAGTTGTTGTGGTAGTAACATAGAGTTAAGACATGGATAGGCCATGGGCTATAATTTTTGGTTCTAGAATGATAAAAAACTGAAGCCATTTATTTCCTTTCTATAACACATAATATAAAGTTATATAATAGTTTGTAAGTTTTTTTAAAAAAAAAAATTAACTGTAATCCATAAAAATTGTAATGTCTCAACTCAATGTCTGTTTTAAGCATAAATCAAAAAGGATAGTTTCAGGTAGTAACAGTAAGGCACTATAGTTTATAGCCCCTAGTAACGACATGTTAGCACTAGAAGCGCTTTGATAATTTGCCCATTCTAGAGACCGTCTACCTAAAGGTAGAGTTACTCAGGTTTACTCATTACCGACCACTGAGACTCTCATGAAATTAGTATAGGCATGACCTATCCATGTCTATATTATCTGTGGGTAGTAACCAGTATTACATTGATGTACAGTATAATCACATCAGTGATGTCTTGTACAATTTCTTCTATTCTTATGAGGTTTCATGGGACTGACTATATCTAATTATAAAACTAAACTTAAGAACCAAAAAAATAGTTATAAAACACATATTTATTTATTAACAGAAATTAATAATAATAATACAAATTATCTTGTCCACTTAAAAATACCAGTTACTATTAATCATATAAAAAAGGAATTTAAAAAAATGATACTTAACTATTTATTGTAATTATTAAAATTATATACATATATATAATATGACCTCCCATACAACAATTTGCATATTTAGATATTATTTATTACTGAATTTATTTGGTAAGTTTTTCCTAATACCTAAATGCAATTTTCTTGTTCATTATTAGGGCCTGGAATTTGATGCATTCGTATCTTTTTTTCTGATATTTGAGATTTTTGTGGGAATTGGAGTCTCATCAATTTAATAAATTTCACAAATGTTTATGTTATTATTATTGATTATTGTTAAATGTGAATAGTTATTTGTAATTACTGATTCATAATTTTAATTTGAGATAACTATTTCATTTTTAAAGTATTTTTTTCAGATATTTTCTTTATAATTTGTATTTTAATATTTTTCGCATTGAGTTATTGAGTGATTTTAACAATTTGTGAACAGTTGATCTTATTTTATTTACTAACTACAGTTATAGATAGAATAATAATAATAATAATACAATTTTTTTTTGTTTTTAAAGTTTACTATTAATTTATTCTTCTAACACAAGTTGTTTACTATTTTTTCGTATTATTTCATGATTACTTGTCTCAAACTTAACATAGTTATGATCTGTGTATTCTCTATTCTTATGTTTGGTAAAGCTGTAATTTTTAGTTTTGAAGTCTTTTCAGAACAAAATTGTCTCTACATTAAACACGAATCCAGCTAGCTTGTCTATTTTTATCAGACAAAAAACTATAGAATATGAAGACAGTAAATAATTTATAAGTAGAGATTTAGTTAAACCTTTGATTATTCAATAAATAACTAAATAATACACCTAAAAACTATTTTATCATTTGTATTCTAAATTGCTCAATGCTTATATGAAAAAGTGTGATTGAATCTGATTTTAAAATAGTTCAAAATATTTCTAGTGAACATGTTGTGATAAGACCCATAGCCCATAACTCACACAAAAATAGCTGATTTTAATGTCAACTATTATCACGAGTTAGTAATCTAGTTTATCATCTATATATGTGTGTCCAATCACAATTTACCTTAGATCATTTACTATGGATGAAACTATGGCTATACATTGTTAGGTCTACTTGACTAAAATTTAATTGTGTAATTTATAAACATTTATTATATTATAATTCACAGTAAAAATGTCCATTACTTGGGAATTGTCATCACTACCCCAATGTACTGCGCCCAATTTATTTGTGGCCCTTAACAGTTACCCGTTCTCAACTATCGGCCAGATACTTAATAATATTACATTGTTTAATTTTATGATTTATATTTTATATATTGTTATTATAAATGTCTAATTCAACACAAATAATGTTTTTAGGTACCGAACTAAAATTGATACTGCCCCAGATGGATTATACTGACGCTATTTTCAAACTCAATATTTTGCTTTGCTAAGTTTACCGTGCATATTTTTATCAATATTTAACTACTAATTGAATATCTATAATATTTTGAACTTATAAATTAGGTTACATAGGTATTTTTAATTTCTTTTTAATTTGTTCATTTTAATTTAAAAATAACTTATATTAAAACAAAAAATAATTTCTGTCGAAAGAAAGTTTGCGATTTTTTAAAATTATTTAATTTAAATATATTTTTAATTGAAATTAAGATATTTAATATTATTATTCATATAAAAATTAATCACTAAATGAAAAAATACTCACAAATCGATTTGCATTTTACTAGCTCTACCTAAATAGATACCTATTATATTATGTAACATAATTCTTCAATATCTAATTGTCAAATTACAAAATATTAAATACTTACCTAATATCTTTACAATAAGTATCTAACTCATGTACCTAAATAAAATAATTTGAATTTAAATATCTGAGTACAAAAATAATATTTACTAAGTTAACTTAATATTGCTTAGTTAGTTACTTTTGTATGTAGGTAATTTATTTATATATTATTCGCTATCGATTTCTATAGTTTAATACTGAAAACTTTTTAATAAAAATATATTTTATCAATATTAATTAATGACTATATTATAACTTATTCAAAGATTAAAGTATTAATAAACTCTAAACTCGATTTTATATTCAAACATTTTGGCTTTGTATTTTTTTTTTCAGAATAATAAAATATTCATTATGTGTGTAATACAATGTGGTTTACAATTACTAATGGTTCCTCAAAATTACAAAAAAAATATGAATTTAGTAGTTTTTGATAATTTTGAAATTATTGACAAAAACTAAATTTTCATCTTTTTGGCTGTGTAAATGAATACAATTTTCGATGTTGGAGTGATGAAAACCCACAATAAATACACTAGAGGCTTCTGCATATAGTGACCATGTCACAGTATGATGCACAGTGTCATGAATAAAGATTATTGGACTTTACTTATTCTATGAAGAAAATTAAGCAATTACCGTCTTTCTAAGTAGTATGTCAGCATGCTACAGAATTCTTTTATATTAGATCTCAGAGAGCTTAAAAAATCGATGTATAGAATATTTGATTTTAACAAGATAGGACCATGGCTCACATAGCATATAATACTGTTGAGTAATTTAATATAAGAAGTTCAAATATAACACTAATATAGTTTTGGTGTACCATTTGTGGCATACATTAAACTGAACTTTTTAGGATAAACAATTTTTTAAGTATTCATCTATATCATATTGACTACAAATCTATATGTACATATAGTTTTTTTTGAAAAAAAAAAATTAATTCATGCAGAAAGGGATTAAATATCAAGGTTATAATATATTGTCCAATGAATCAGGAAGCATTGAAGAAATCAATTATTACAGCAATCATCATAAACAAACCTAAATAAATGTTTGAAAAAGGCAAAACTATTAATTTTGTTTGGAGCAATGTATCGATAATAAAGGGCATCACTTAACTGAAATTGTATTTAAAACTACACAAATTAAAATTTCCAATATTGCATAACAAATATAATACGTAAAAAAAAAAATTGAATACGTAAAATTACCTTTTTTTTGTTTACCTTTAAAAATAGGGAGGGTATTTTGCCGCACCCTGAGTTATGACTTTATGAGTGTACTTTAACAGTGTTATATTGTAATTATAAAGTATAAATTATTAATTTAAAATTGTTGTACTTAACAATAATTATTGTATGCAAGCACAATTATGATATGTACCCGGCGTTTTCCATTGCCTGTATTTATTTCTTTTTTAAAATAATCAAAAATCAGCATTTCTGCAGCGGTCAAAGCCACGACAGATCGCCACATTTTGAGGCTAGCGGAAAACGTGACGTAATATAACTGGCAGACAATCGGCCACGGAAAACGCCGTTGAGTGCTTGGTCTATCATTATACGTAAGTAGATACTTATTTATTTCCGCCGAAGTGACAATGTTTAAATTGACGATAGAAATAATTCATAGGTACCATACTATCAGTGCTATTTATACATTATTGTTATTTATCAAACATTACTAATATAAAACAATTTACTATAAAATATTTTCTTTTACGTATACAGTGTGTTTACTACAGAGTATAGGATGATAGAAATATATAAAATTATTTTTTTGTTATAATCCATTTTTTTTAATTTTCTGTCATTGTAATTTGTAGATGAGGTGTAAATGGGATATGGAGACCTTAATCATAAAATGGTAAATCTAGGGGAGTAAGGAAAAATGATACTGGAGGCATGGAAGTTTTTTTCTGGTTTGTCCTAATTATTATAAAAACTACTTGGAAAATTTAAAAGCTACTTTCTTATTCATCAAAAACATTAAAAATTCTGCACGAAAGGTCTGTTTTTATTTTTTTATTGAAGCAATATTTTTCATAAAAACATGAATATTTATTTAATAAATGGTTAAAATGAAAGAGGTAATTCATTTATATAAGCTAATTTACGATTCAAAACACTGCGCGCTGTAAATTTATCAGTTTTCATTTTTAGTATTTTTTTATTTTTCCCAACTATTATGAAAACTACTCATAAATTCAAAAAATGACTCTCTATGAGCAACTAAATTCGAAATGCAACAATAAAGGTCTCCTGTCATTTTTTGATTGAAGCATTTTCTATAGTAGAAAATATAGGTTACAAAAATGTAAAATCATGAAATGTTATACACCGCACAGTGGGATGAAACCAATATAAATATTGGTTTTTAAAAACCAAAAATCCTTAGATTTGATTGATGATTTTTTTTATCAAAACATGTTATAGATAAATTAAAAATTTGAGACAATTAATTGATTATCAAATTAGATTAAGCAATTTGGTTAGAAATGTTTACATTTCTATTGAATGATTCTAATTTTTACACTAAAATTATCAATTCATTTTTTTCAGTTAAACTAATTAAGCAAAATTTTTTTTTTCAGAATTTACACTTCTTATATTAGCTAACATAGAATTATGACAAAAAAATCTTTTCCCTCTTCCCCTATTTATAGTAACAATCGTAATATTAACATAATAAACCCAAGTTTTCCATTCTTTTTCCGTTTTTAAAGGTTATTAATAAAAATTACGCAATTTTGAATGCGTACCTATATATACATACATATATTATAGCTCAAGTCATCAACAATAATTTAAAAAAAAAATTGTGTTATATTACTCTGATCATGTTACACGTATTTTTTATACTATTAATTTTTCAAACTTTTATACTGTTTTATAGTTACTTTTTTTTTTACTTATATAATTAATACTAGGCAATTTGAAATTGAAAAATGAAAAAAAAAAATATTATTAAAAAAATGAATCAATGTAAAACTGCAAAACTTCAGTTAATTACAAAGTTGAAGTTCAAAAGTTAGACGTAAGAAAATAATGCCTGGAGTGAAAGTTAATGAAAAATGTTTCAGTAACGAAAAAAACAAATTGAAGTAAAAGTATTTAAAACAGTTTAAATATCGCACTTGTTACTTATTTTAGATGAACAATGTTTTAAAAATAAAAATTTAATTTATGGCGTGTAGTTTTTGGATCTAAAGAATTTATTTTCATTGAAAAAAAAACAAATTGTACTTTTTTAGAAGGATTTATTAAATATATTTGCCTGGATGTAGTGGAACTGCATAATTAATTAGTAAACTTTGCTCAGAATTATGATCATTTATCTGAATCTGTTCTTTTAGTTTCAAATTATACAGCTGATGAAGTTGAAGATTCCGAAGGTGAAAACTATAACAACAAGTCCGTTAAATGTGCGGTTTCTGAAAATTAAAACGGCAAATTATATATAAATTGAGCAATGAATGCATATTCACATTAGTTATTCATTCATCAAATTTTAGTAATGTTTATTTATGTTATACAATTATTTTGCCATTATTATTCACTCAAGTTAGTTGTGAACATGGTTTTTCTATATTGAAAAAATCAAAACTAGATTGAGGTCCTTATTTTCCAATGATAAATTAAAACCTTTTATGTTCATGAGTTTGAAAATAAAAGTTGAAGTATGTCTTGATGAAATAATAGACAAATTATGTACTTCCCTAAATAATTAAAAAGGCTGCTAATAGAATAGTATTAGTATAGGTATTACTAATTTATTAAATTATAATTATTATTACCGATTTTATTCTTTTGTTTGTAGTTTAATAAATTTACTAAATTTAAACTAACAAGCATTTTTAATAATTTTGAAGTTTGTTATTTAATACCTATATCTAGATTAGAGTATTATATGTCATTTTATTTAAAATACAATTTTTTTTTTTAAAATTAAAGGGAAAAATAATTTTTAATTTTAAATTGTTTATCCCTACTCCATATACCTTAATTAATTTCTTACTTTTAATTTTCAAATAGGAACCCACCCCCGCCTTTAAACACAGATTTGAATAATATATATTTATATTTATATAGAAATATTTTTTTTAAAATTGTAATATAACATTAATGCATATATGCATAACATTAATATCAGATTTACCGTTTATGAGTACCAGTTTAAAGTTTAGATCGGAGATGTAGAGAAGGGTAATAAATTACCTATCTATGACTCTTCTTTACTCCTTTCTAAACTTTAATCTTTAAACTCATAAATGGTAAATCTGTAATGCACATCATTTATATAAAAATATTCTTTATTCAAATCAGTGTTCAAAAAGAGGAGTTCCTATTCGAAAATCAAAAGTATGCACTTATTTAAAGTACATGGTGTATGGGCAAACAATTTAAAATGGTTTGAAAATAAAGCTTAAACAATTCCATAAAAAGAAGAAAAAACAGAAATAAAATTCACTTAAAATCCTCTGAGATAATTGCTGGTTCATGATATAAAAATCACTCTGTATATAAAGTGCTGATACGAGTTTAAATGCCTATTTAAATATTCAGTAAAAACTATAAAATTTAAGTCTACAATTATTTTTCAATATTTTTAAATATTTAAATTTTTTTTTCAGAGCTATTTAAAATATTCTATTTTATTTGTTTTGGATTTATACAGAAAATTATTTCGTAATTTTGATTAACACTTCAGATTTATATGAATAATAAGAACTGTGGCTACTAAAAATACTATAACAAAAACAATTCTAATTCATTTTGTAGTTAAAAATTAACAAATTTACACATTATTTTCAATTTAAATGTATTAAATAATTGTTTTTAATTAAATCTCAAAATCGTTTTCCGTTTGATCAGAAGTTTTTTTTCATTTTATTACCTATAATTTTAATAATGTAACATGTTAGTACTTATAATGTAAATTATGTTTTAAATTTCTTATACATTTTCAAAAATCAAAAAAAAAATACGTCTTGAAACCCGGTTTACAGTGTTCTAATATTTGACGAACGGAAAACTTTGAAAATTTGTTTGAAAAAATGGTTCAGACGATCAAATTATCCCCAAGTAAAACTCTGTAGTGATTGGTCAAATATAACCCGCACACATTTAAGTTGTACAATGGTATCATCAATGTATTAATCACGATGCAGATACAATTACATTAACATTGTGGTACTTAATCATTAGTCATTAATATATTTTTACTCTATGATATATAATAGATATTATAATATACATATTATAGTTTACACTTTACATAGGTGCATAACTACATTAGAGCTACAACATGAATTAACAATTGTGAAAAATTATGAAAACTAAGGAAATTCTTAAAAATAAACGTTCAAAGTTAGAAAATAAGTAATATTATATAAGTACCTAAGTACCTACTTTAACTTTCTATGTAATATGCATTAGTATTTCGTAAGTATCAATCCTAATAAATTGTTGTGTGCGTATTACGTACAATTAAAGAAATGTCCTTGTAATTTTGAATACGAGTTCATCGTAGGTACACTTTCTATAAAATATAATAATATAATGATTGATTGTCTCAAAAATCCAAATTCATAAATGTAAATAATTTCTGATCCCGCCAGCTTTTAGTGGTACCTACTTCAATCTGTTCAGTGTTCAATCTAGCAATGCATACTTCGGTGTCATTGATAACTAATTTGATTTTATCTACAATTTTGTGTGGGTACCAAATAAAATGTAATAAATGTTTTTGTATAAAATATGTAAATTATATTTCATAATCATGATTCGTGGATAAACGATGATAAAAATTTATTATCAATCTAGTAATCCAATATTTGACAAAATTGTCAAATGAAGTTTGACGTAGGTATGCCAATTATTTGATCGTATGAACTGGGTTTTATGAAGGACACTACAAATTTATGCAGTGTAGCCACTATGACGTAATGTCTCGTCGTTATCAGCGCAATCATACCGGCAACCGGGTCAAAAGAATTTCGGAAAATGATAGTTCTGTTATCAATTTATTAAATTTATTTTTTTTTTGTCAGCCCAGTTTTTTCTCCATAAATGTAATTTTTGTTTTAACCGTTCACACCTGACCGTTAATTTTGTGCTTAGTACCTCGACAAATCACGATCCTAAAAAATGACCAAGGTGTATAAAGAAGACGAGATCAGTATTCGAGTCGATCGATGCCTATATGATTCACTTCTCAAATTCGGTAAGTCATATACTTTATAAGTTCGACCTCTAAGAGTATTAAAACCGACTTTGGAAGTCACACCAAAGATGTTCACCCAGCTTTGGTCATTAATGTCTTTGAAAGCTAATTTTAATCAACTTGATTCTTTACATTGTTGCCATAGCCTATGAGTTCTTTTTGAAATCAACACGTTTCTCAATATAGCTCAGTATAAACAATTACTAGTACACCGTTCAAGTAGTAGTTTAATCATAATATGATGACTTAAGTTATTTGATATATTTGTTTTAAACCTTTTACATCTACAAAAATACAAATATACCATGATGTTGACAAGTGGTCTGCTTACAAATTGATTGGTGCTATATTATATTCATAGACTAACCCCAAATATTTGGAATGAAGGCGAAGGGAGAAGAAATTATTATATCAATATTCTTTCCGCAATGATTTATGAATAATATAAAGTTGTAAAAATAATTTACAATTTTATCGCTTGTAAGAATTAGTTCTGGTATAATTAAAATTGTTTATTTCTTTCAGGCGGTGGCTTAAGTGTAGGCGCAGTTGCTTCCCTGTTATTTTTCAAACGTAAGTTTTTTGTTGTTAATACTACAAATTAAATTATTATGACATATTTTTTTTAATAATTTTCGTGTTCAATTTTTAAAGTAATCTAATTTTAATTTGAGTGAAATAAGCTATTACGTGTATCATTGTATCCATTATTAAAAAAAACAACCGGTATTAAGTATATGACCTACGTTATCTACCCACATTTTTAATAATAAAAAAAGCATTAAAACCAAATTTATTTATTCATAAAACAAATTATAATTAGCCATACAGTTTTTGTACACCACAAAAATAATGTAAACAAAATTGATCTTGTTTGTTAATAGATCAATACTATAGCTTAGTTAAAAGATTTGGCAAAATATCAGCTGTTCTATGCATTTATTGTACCTATTATGATTTTAATACAACCCTTGAACATATGTGTGAGTCCCTGTTGTTGGGTTAACAAAATGATTCACTGTTTATAATGTGTCTTAATCTTTTAAACAAGAATAAGCTCTCCATTTGTCAGATATTACTATAAAACTATGCAGTATTATTTTTCGATTATCGGAATTAATGTTTCTTATAAGTTTATTGAACTCTACCCATTACAATGCAAACAGTTTTAATGACTAAATGGGTAAATTCTAGTATCTATTTGTCCCAAACTTAGTTTTGAGTTACATCGTACATTAAGATTAAGATATTTAAAAAAATTCATTTGTTTTTTGTATTGATACCGCTGACATACTTTAGTGATACATCTTATAGTGAAAATTTCACGAGTGGCTAATTATTCTGTTTGTATGTACATCTTAGTATTACCATAATACTTATAACTAATTTTTACATAATTTTTATAAAAATCTAAAACTGTTGTTAATATTTTGTTAAATATACGATGAACCAACAGCAAAACTCGTATTGACAATTATTGTTAATTTAGTAAAGTGACATATGTGTACAAATTAAAAACCCGCTGTATATTATTTTATAAAATTATAAAAAATTTGTAAGCACTCATATAGTATGTTGGTTATATATTGAACCCAGTAATACAGGTAGGTCACATACTAAACTCGATATTTAATAAATAAGTCATATACTAAACAAATACCAACAAAAAAAATATATTATTAATAGAAGTTAAAAAAAATACATGAATTTATTTTATTATATTTTACACTGTTTTAAAAAATAACTAAGTCGAAAACTGTTCTAGATTTAATTTGATAATGTATGTTATTGATCATGGTATTTTATTTTATATAGGTAGGAAATGGCCGCTGATTATGGGTTCCGGTTTTGGATTGGGTTTAGCATATGAAAATTGTGAAAAGGACCTGAAAGAATATTTCACAAGTACATAATATTTATGTCAAAATATTTAGGCGAAAGTACAATAGCCCCTAGACTCTTGAGTCAAACAATGTGCTGTTTATATAATTTTTTTTTTTCTATTTGCATTCATTGTAAGTAGCATATATTTGTTTCAGTTATACATTTATATAGAATACAATTTTTGTTCCAAAGAGAATGTATTATTTATTTTGTACATGTAAAAAAGTTGTTCAAATTTTAATTAAAATAATTATAATTAATAAAATATAAAGTATAACAATGTTTTAAAAAAATGAAAAATAATACAGGAAATTGTTAAACGGGCAATCGATTATCAAATACCAAGTTATTGACTGTGAAACAGTGTCAAGTGTAATTTTAAATTTTGTATGTCATTAAAATAATGTTTGCACCAATGGCATTGGAGCTGTTGATTTAAACATTTCTTGTTCAGCGGCAATTTAACATGTCCCAATGTTTGTAAATCAACAATGACTTCTGCAAAACAAATTACAATATACAATTTTGAGTTACAATACCACTGTAATGTACAAATCGGTGTAATATGTATTTTATTTTTACACAGCACATACCAATAATAAAACCAACGGAAGTAAATAGTCATTACATTGAATGTGAAAAGATTGTTTTAATTAATTTGAAATATTAGTCTTAAATTTAATTGTAATAAAATTTTGAATAATTGAATTGCATTTAAATATTTGTCACAGAACTTCAGGAGGTGACAATTATCTATTCATATAATATATCTTTTTCTTCTCCTCCGCTTTAACTCAACTATTTGAGGTTGCCCACCTCCATCCTAAATCATTTTTTAAACCCAATCTTTCACATAATTCTGGCATAAACTAGCTAACCTTATATCATTTTCAATCGAATCGAGCCACCTCTTTTTTGGTTTTCTCTCCTATGTTTATTTTTATTACCTTCATTCACCTTGCTTCTAATTATTCTCTCCTCTTAAAATCTTATCTATTTTCTCCCATTTTATTCATCATCAAAGCCACACTTATGTATTCATTCCTTATATTATCTTTTTTTATCACTTCATTTATCCACTTCAGTATGTTAATTTCTACAACACTTATTCTCTATTCTATAAACTATTAATTATAGTACTTACAATTTGTATGTATTATAATTATATAAATATAATATAATTGATTAAATAGTTTTTTCAAGGGCAAATTAATTATCGTGTACAAAAAATACTTAATGAAGTCTAAAAAGACAAATCAAAATTATGATTATTTATTTACAGCATACAGTTTTAAATCAAATTTAACTTTTTTATTTTAAACATAAGCTGTGTTTTAGTGATTAACCTAGTTATATGATTTTGATTAATGGTGATAAATTCTCAAAAAGACATACTTATGTTAAAATATAAATTTTAATTTTAAAACATTTTATTTATTTTTATAAGCATAGAAATAAATTAAAAGTTAACATTTTGGTTAATTGTATATACTTTATAGAAATAGCACTATGCTGCAATAGTTACGATAATTGAACAGTGAATATTTAAAGAATTTTTATAATTAAATGATACATCTAATTAATGAATTTGGTTTACTAAGTGGAGATTGAGACATTTGCTGTACTTTATTTTACAATGATATTTATTTTCTTCTTTCTAATAATAACTCTTTTACCAGAAATTTTGTTCTGATTTTCAAGTGTAGCACTTATTTTGAAAGAAAATTAGATTGGTCTGGTACATTAAGGAGGTCATTTTCTAATTTTCCCAGGGGTTTTCATAATAAATGGGAAACTACAGGATAAATTACAAAATGTATTATTATCAAACTGAACTTTGTTTATAATCGTTTTTCGTTAGCAATGATTAATCTTTGTGTAAAGATATATATTAAATTTCCTCTTTACTATCCCAACTTCTCACCTACCCACACTAGTCTGCCCGCCCATTGTGTGAAGTATGTATGTATGTTTTTTTTTTAAGTTAAATGATGATTATCTTGAAGTGTTGATTGAAAATATACATAAAGTAAATGAAAATAAAGATCATAATATTATTAAGTTCGAAATGGTAAGATAGGAATTTTAAAAAAAATAAGTTTTGTGATAGTTAAATATAATATGATGATAAATGAACATAATATACTTATTATGACTGTTTACAACTGTATCTATAATTATTCTTTTAGTGAATCTTTAAATTAACTGATTTATAAGTACATATAAATATTACATTTGTATCTATTAATAAATATTGTGTAAATAAATAAATGTAAATTTATATTATAATTATCTTCTTTATTATTTTGAAAAAATACAACACAAAATAAAAATTATAATCTAAGAAATATTTTAACATAATTATAAAACATGAAATAGATTAATTAAATAATTAAATCTACTTGATAACTAAGATGCTGTAAAAGAAAAAAAAGTACTGGCTAAATACAAAAACTATAAAATAATCTATAAGTATTTGCTCACAGTAACCAGGTTAATTATTTGCCAAAACACGCCTATATTTTTTAATGAAAATATAAAAAAAAAAAACTGTTGTATATAGGATAATGGAGACGGGTGTAGCCACTGTAATGAATAATTTAATGTATACGTGTAAGCAATGATAAACCATTGCTAACGAAAAAAGGATTCTAACGGAGTTCAGTCGATAGTGATACCTTGTCAACAATATATATAAATGTCATTTTATAGTAAAATAATTAAATAGGCATTATATATTTTCTTTAATATTTGTTTAATGTTGAACCAATTTTCCTCCTATCAGTTTTTCAAATTTGCTGAGAACTCTTGGGAAAATCGAAAAATGACTTCCTTATAGTACCTTTCCTGTCAGATTTCCTTTCAGAAAAAGTGCTATCATTGTAAAACAATAAGTTTCTTTGTTTCACTGAAAATGTAAAATTTCTTTATATAAGCATAATAAATATCATCAATTTATCATAAATTAAATTGCTTTGGTCTCAAGTATTTAAGATCTCAGAATAGGTACAGTAAGAAATTCAAAAATTGTATTTTCGCTTTAACATCTATTATAAAGAAATATTTTTTGATAAATGCAACTGAGTTGTTCTCTTACATTGATTGACTTTCATTTGGTATCCATAGTTACTATTTAAATTGTATGCGCAAAATATTTTGTCAGTTGATTTTTTATCATTATATAGTCCAATTTTTAATATTAGTCAATATTGAAATAATGGTTTTCAGTTCTAAATTATAGTTTCAAATTATAATAAATGTACGTATAAAAAGATAAACAACATACAAATTGTAAAAATAACAGTAATATGAATGACCAATGAGAATATGAGATACCAAAAATGATAATAGATGGGATCTTAGGAATGGAGTGCATGATACACTTGTATCAGTAGAAATGTAATCTATTTTGTCATGTTTCTAACTGTTAGTGTTGGGTACTGATACAAAAATATTTAAATATAAAAAAAAAATATTTTAATTAGTGGTACCTAATAAGTTTTTACATTTTTATATAACACTTATGAGTTACGAGCAAGACAAATCGAAAAACATTTTGGATTTGTATTCATTAGACTTATCTAAAACACTCAAAGATAACAATACGCGTAAACGGTAATTGTTTATCGGTGTATTGAAATCAAACGATTAAAAAAAAAAAAAAAACAAATACAATAAATTGCTTAAGTTTAGAAAATAAAGCAAACTAGAAGGTGATTACATACTAAAATGAATGGGGTTTATGGCTTTATTTAAGGATTAATTTAAAAGCAGTTTTACGAATAATTGTTCTATAATTACTATATGTTGGCACGAAGAATTCAGTATGAAATGAATTCCATTGGAACGGATGCCTGAGGTGAACACTATTGAAGTCTTTGCTCAATATATGCAAATGCAGTCTGTTCATTGACGGATAAGCATGGTATCCGACCCTACAACGAACATGGGTTCAACAATCTACATATAGAATTTTATTAGTAGCTATGGACGGCTTCCGCCGAATGAACTTACTGAAAACACCGAGCAGGCAGCATGGTCCTGTACACAACGAACTCCAGACCCTTGAGTTCCATGTATATGAGTTTTGGTATATGGTGCGTTTTGAGACTGTTCACCTCCTGTATGTGTTCTTTGGGCAAGACCAGATAATGGTGCTTCGACTTCGGGAACACGTCCGCTATAATCACCATGAATTCGTCTTCATATAATCGAACGGACTTGTTGTCCATAGCCACGATCAAATCGTTCTTCAGGGCCATGATAGCTGAGCGAGTTTTGTTTACTTATGACATTTATATCCGACGGCGCCGAGGAACGTCGTCGGGGAGACTACCGGATGTAAGTTAAGATTTTCAAAACTACTCCGGCACTACGTACGCTTTCAACGTAATGTGCTTGGTTGATGAGACGGCGTACGAATCGTATTTGGCGGCGTTGCTACCTGTTACACGAGTAAATAGAGAGCGAAATTCAACCAATCACGAATAAGAATAGAGTGCCGTTTTTATCGCGTTGTGTTATCACTTTTTATACCAGTCGCTTGTAAATCGTGGTATTGTATAATATAATAGAGTACCTTATCAAGTACCATTAGACTTATAATATTATTTCATTGAATAATATAGAGACGGCGTTTCCTATGACGGCCGCATAACAAAATTGAAACCAAATAGTCGGTTATTGAGTTAAAAAGGGAGTCTATTATGGACAATTTGTCCGCTATTGTACCCATCGTTCGTCAACAATCATTGATGTCTACTATGTTGTGCAGTATGTTTTATCATAATTTATTCTTTTGATTTTTGAGAATTATGTTGTGACCTTATGACTCTATTGCTTATTTTATTTTTGACTCAATTTTATCCCATTCAAAATTGAACAAATGTGTGTGAAATTGTACGTTATTCCTACATTATTTACCAATTATTATGAAAACTGCTTCGATAATCAAATACGACCTGCACCGTAAAAAACAAGATCAAAAATTCAACAAAAGCGGTTTTGTTGTTTTTCAATTAGAGCCATATTTGTGTTAAGAAACGTGGTAGATACTTATTTTTAAATAACGGAATCGTGATAAACCAATGCATTCCTCGCTATACTCAGAATCTAAAAATGATTAAAATATATAAGATTTGTAAAAACAATTCAAATATTTGTATTTTAAAGACAGGAGCATTGCAATTAGCACTGTTGAAATGGTCACTGAAAAAGGGGTCTGAAATTTTGGAATCAATTTTTGTTTGGAACGCCACCTCTATATTACTCTATGTATTATGTAGACACTCACCGCGCATTCATGAAATATTGACACTATGAACTAAAACAACTATAATTATATTATTTTAGTTCATGATTGAAGCCATCATTCTGTAACACTCATCGGTATTACGAGACACAAATTGATAACTGTTTAACATCGTACTGTCAAAATTTTGATTATTTAATATTTGTACATTATGATTGTCATCTACATAGACTTACGCCACGGATATCTAAAATACTACAGTATAGTTTAGATATCTGTGACTCAAGCCCGGTCTACACTAAGACAACGTAAAACAACTTTCTAGGTCGAAGCATGTTGACACAACATAAAGTTCCTATATATTTCCAGGAGTCACCAAATGTTTCGTCAATAATTTGTTGCAAGCGACAAAAATGTCTCATTGTTTCATGTTTCGATTGAAAGCCATACGTGTTACCGCAAAACGATATAATAAATTGGTTAAATGGGTAACATGGACTTACAAGTCTATCGGTGTGGACTCGGTGTTTATCAACGTTGCTGTGGTTTTGTTGCCTAAATGTGTACGCTATGTTTCTAATTTCTTTTCACGTGTTACGGAACACAAGGAAATTTTGGACAACTTATACGGCGTTCTATGTTGCCTTAGTGTGGACCGGGCTTCATACACACAGATATAGAAAATAAACTAGAATGGCGATTGCTAACTATTATAAATTCACAAGCATGCCGGGCGACGCCACTTTTCCGTCATATTGGTTAAGGGCTATGGTATTTTATCAATTTTTATCGCCGTTGTACACAGATAAATTTTATCATAATTCATGAACTCAAAAATATTTCTTATAACAATTAAAGGAATTATTAATATTTTATTTACACAAATCATGAAAATAAAAAAAAAACAACAGTTATCTATATCTGCGTGTATATATTAATCTATATTTGTATAGCCCCCACTCCCACCGATTGCGGTTCGTCAAAGTCTTGTTAAATACTGTTTGATAATAATATTATAAAACGATTTAATTAATATAAAAGTTTGTTATTTATTCTGTTATTGATCATTATTAATGTTTGATATTATAGATACTGTTAGGATTTCCACATTTTGAACGCATTTGTCAAAGGATTTTAACGGCCAAAATATTTTAGGTATGAATTGAAAAGAATCAATTTTTCTTTTATGTGATTCGTGTAATGTTAATATGTTATACGTGTAGGTATGCATTTTTCAACCGTAGCTTAAAAAATTCAGATACGACCGTGTACATGGTATGGAGCGATAAAAAGTATTTGATTTAATAACCATAACTGGATATATTATATTATTTGAGCGAGATTTTTATTATATTTCTATGTAATTATTAAAACATTGCAATACGCATGAAAATATAAATATTCACACGCCGGTTGGCGGGTTTAGCGACATCGTTCTCGCTTCCACGTTGGTTGCAGACCATACAAAATAATTATCAGCCGATTATATTGCATCAGCACCGATTTTACGTTTGTCAAAGATTATAATAAATAGCTTTATTTCTTATTGTTTAAACCACTCGAGAAATCCTTTCAACGATCACTCCGTCGAGAACACTGTCTAAAACCTTTACCAGTGGCAACATTTGAAAGGCGGCAGGGGTGGTATTTGCCCTACTTGTCATCAGAAGGCCAGATACAGGCTGACATGGAGTAATTTCAAGCAGTAAGCTCGCTAACATGATTTGTGATACATTTATACTCAATAAATTACATTGGGGTAAAATTACCCTTAAACTATGCCTTCATATTGTAGCTAATAGGTAATATATTTAGGTATCCCTCTGCATATATATAATTGTTTTGGTCATTGTTGTTCTTTGAAAAAAATGTGTTATTTATGTGTATTTTAGTAAGTATTAAATTATGCACAAAGGGTATTTGTATAGAAATGAAAATGTTATTATGACAAATTATTTACTGAGGCCTTTTTTTTTTTTTTTTTTTAGTTTTATTATGGGTCAGTCAAAAATGTTACACCCATATAAAAAACTGAAATGATGCCACTTATTATCACCAAAAAGGAAACCTACATATATTGCTTTGTTATCTTATTCGATTGTCCTTTTTTGAGTTATTACTTTAATTTGTTTTTGCCTGTCATTATTCTTACTGCACATTACTGATGACATTTTTTAACCTATTACACTTTTTTAAGGACAACTTTTGTTATGATTTATTTAAATACCTACCTATTTTAATCTTGAATAATTAATTAATTTTGTTCACAGTATTTAACAACAATAACTAAAGTCTACACGTTTATCATGAGCGTTAATAAAAACTTAGCAAATTCTCTTCCTAATTCAAAGTGAGTAACATAAAACAATAACAATAATAATATTATTATGTAAAACAAATCATCCAATTTTATTTTCTACTCACCCACCAACAAAAAATACCCCCACTTTACCATATCCTATCTCTTAAACATAAAATAGGAACCGTCAACAGATATTGAAAATTTATCAAAGTTTCCGCATTTAAAAATTGTATAATGATGTTTAGAGTATTTTCTGTAAACACTAGCATATTCAGAAAACTTCATTAAAAGTCATACATTTTATTTGATTATTGTACCGTGGATTTTCCAAAAGGTTTTCATAATAATTGAGAAAAGCCATATAGATAAAAAGACAGCGCAATGATTTCATGGTTTTACATTTTAAATCTAGTTATTCACGATTAAGTCAATGTGTACAAATATAAATTAAATTATCATCCATTTCTTTCCATACTAACTTCTCGTTCAAAACTATGTGTCTTTTTTTTTTATTCTGAGTGGATCAAAGAAAACATTTTGTTTTGTTTGATGGTACATAATTTGAACAAATTTTGGAAAATTCACAAGACTTTTTCCAAAGAAATGATTTTTGTTTTCTATACGATTGTATGACTGTATAATATTTCCTTTTGATTTTGTTGTTAATTGTTATTACTTTATATTATTTGGTTATAATTAAAAATCAGAACACATTCATTCTAGAAATATACTATTATAGGACTATATAAACATGAACCATTTATTCATTTTTATATTTTTATACAAGTTATAAATAAATTTAAACATTTTCTAACAGATGCATTGGTTTATTTCTTTCACTTTCAGGTCAATTAAAAAAGAAATGGTTGAAGGCGCAACATCTTATAATCCTTGTTATGAAGATAAATCAAAGCAACTAGGGTGAGTTTTATTTAATTTAATGTTTTACTTACCGTCTTTTACAAGTGTAACTATAATTTTAGAACATAACAAAGGACCTATTAGTTTCACTAAGTGTTTGTTTTTGTCTGTAAACAACTTTGATAACAGAAAACTTGCTTCAATTGAAAAATCTAGTGTACTAGAGGTCATTTTATAATTGTTCAAGGGGTTTCCGAAATACAATAGAAAAGTCAGTAATATTTTTATTTTTATTTTTTGGGCTAATTCAGTTTAAAACAATTGTAGAGAAATTACATTTTGATAGAAAATATTTTTACCTTTTTACTGGCATTTTATAATTCTTTAATTTTTGACATAATTCTTATTTGATAGGTCCTTTGTGAATATAATTGTGTGATCTAACAAAAATGCTTGAAAATTTAACCCGAGGCTCCTCCTAGGTTGCACTTAATGATCAACAAAAATTAAACTCAAGTGTAATGTAGGTAGCAATTTTTTAAAATAAATTAAATATTACAGCCTTTCAAATTATGTATAAATAAAATTGTTAACAATATTTGATCATTTCTTAGAGATATAAATTAAATCACTTTATGTAACTTACCTTCCCAATTTCTCACCTACAACACAGTTAGCACTGATATTAAATCGATTTTATAGGCAAATATTGACTTAACAATTACTATTAACACAAACGGTGTTGTACCACATTAATAACATAAACCATCTTTGAATCGGTTGATTAATTAAACACAAATTTGTTACATTTCTCATATTTATTATACACAAAATATGTTCTTCTAAAGATTATTTACTTAATTTAGTAAGCTTAACTGACCATAGATGTTCTGCCAATTACTCTCCTGTAGAAACTCCTCTCCAACAAAATTGATTGTCTGTTCTTACTTTCTATACTTTTATATTTCTTCTCGTATTACCTCGTCATTTAAAGAATGTTCACTTCCTTTCTGCTCTACTAATTACAAATTCAATGAACCAATTATTTGCCTTATGTCTATTGTCAATTATAACCCCGTCCTTCTGTTGTTCTTAATATTTTTCATATTTTAAACCAGCCAACACTTTTCTCCTCTTAGAACCAAATATATATTTTCTGCCTAATTTGTAATTATATTGATGTGTAGGCACAATCTTGTTATTATAAATAATTTAATGAATTAATGATTTCAATTAATGTATTACATTTTTTTAAATTATTAAGTCTTTAAACCAATATGATAAAAGAGTAGAATTATTACATCTGTCATATTTAAAGTAAGTTTCAATCCCAGATATGGTTTTGATAATATGAGTGATATATCTATATTACTTCTAATATAGGTATTTTTAGAACACATTTTATTGTACTGTGTTGTACAATCTTTGTATTTGTTTTTTATAATGGTAATGATTATTATAATTAATATATTTTTCAGATTTGTATATAACTCTAAACAGGTAGATGAAGAAATAAATATCCATGTTAAAAAAGAGGTAGACGTCATTGATGGTTTCGTTTATGAGAGTGAGATTGTTATTGAAACTGATCCAATAAAATCTTTTTTGAATCAAGAATTACAATTTGAAGAAAAATATTTTGAATGCTCTTACTGTAGTAACTTATTTTTTTCAAAATCGCATATAAAAAACCACTTGAAAGTTCATAGTGATGTAAGACTTCAGAAATGTAACATCTGTGAGAAGACATATTCTTTAAAACAAAATTTAGACAAACATAAGAAAACTCATTCGGGAGATAAACTTTATGAATCTAAAGAGCGCGAAAAGACATTTACTCAGTTATCCACTTCAAAGAACCATATAGAAACACATAAGGGAAAGCCCTGTAAATGTAGTATGTGTACAAAGACATTTTCTCTTAAAACCATTTTAAATGTCCATGAGACAACTCATACAGAGGAAAAGCTCTCTGTATGTGGCATATGTAAGAAGACATTTATCAATGAAACCACTTTAAAGGTCCATGAAAGAATTCATACAGGAGAAAAGCCTTATGAATGTAATTTTTGTAAGAAGTCATTTTCAAGAAAGGATCTTCTAAATATACATAATTTAACTCATAAAGAAAATAAATCTTATAAATGTGATATTTGTAAGAAAACATTTACTGTTAAAAACACTTTAAAGAACCATGAAAGAATTCATACAGGAGAAAAGCCGTATGAATGTAATTTTTGTAAGAAGTCATTTGCAAGAAAGGACCATTTAAATGTACATAAATTAACTCACTTGGAAGAAAAACCTTATAAATGTGATATTTGTAAGAAAACATTTACTGTTAAAAACACTTTAAAGAACCATGAAAGAGTTCATACAGGAGAAAAGCCGTATGAATGTAATTTTTGTAAGAAGTCATTTGCAAGAAAGGATCTTCTAAATATACATAATTTAACTCATAAA